AGCAGGAATTACACTTGTAGATCAAGAGTGATGTTAAAATGCAAAAATTAAACTGCTCTGGCATCATCAGCTCAGGTTTTGCAACATTGTAATAGAACAGAAATACAGGTAAGTCAGTTGTTCTTCAAAAAATCGCCACCCTGCAGTTGAGATGCAGTAACTTGGTGGTATAATTATTCCACTGTCCTGGTGCAGAGCATCATCTTCAGTGGTAATTGGAGTGAGCATGTTTGACTTTATGCTAAAGTGGATTAAGAACATTTATACTTCAATTATTGTGTCCCAGCATTCGTGCAGTAGTGAATAGATCTTGGGTGGCAATTTTTGTTTAGACCAAGCTGTTTGTGAAGCTGCTTCATGAGCAAACATCTGCCTGTGGTTGCAGTCGCTCTAGCCAGCCTAATTAATGCCCCCTGCAACTGGGAAAGGTAGCAAAGTCAGTGTCACAAAATCCTTCAAAAACTAAAGGCAGCCAGGCCTAAAGCGGACCTCTGCCAGCTCTCTGTCCACATCTCACTGTGGTCTGTTCGGGCCAGATGCCACAGACCATAATGCCTCTAGCAAAGGTTTTCAGAGGCTTCAAGGAAGCCTAGGAAAAAGTCACTTGAGCCAGCCTCTCCCACGGAAATTTGAAAGACAAAAAGTTCTATTCATTGTACAGATCCTTCTGAACTGCCTCAGCAAATCAGGAAATAAACTCAGGACCGTAACAGGAGTTGTGTTTTGTTTTTTTTTTCTTATTTTATGAAAAGACACAGGAACTTTCTTTCCCTTCACCACTCGCTATTTTCTTCCATGTCAGATCAGCAATGTCCTCATCCAAAAGAGGGCCCTCCAGGCTCATCATCCTCTAAGCTGTTTAGCCAGTACGCCAGAGGCCGAGACTTGGTGTAGACAGCACTGCAACAGCTCAGCTGGCTCCAGTGTGGTTCCGCTCAAGCCCTCAGTACACGCTGGGGAGCTGGCAGGGCGCAGCTGTTCCCAAAACTATTTGGGAATTTGCCGATGGGTTTTCTAACAAGAAGATGCCAGATCATCAAAACTGTTCCTGGAATTAATCATACTCACATTTTTAAAGAAATCTCACAGTCAAGTGTAACATTCCAAATGGTTTGTTTGAAACTTTGCCTATTTTTAAAAAAAAAAAAAAAACAAACCAAAACGTTTAACTTCAAACTGTGTGAGACAATATCCATCTGGCCTTCTTCAACCACTCTAATCTGGTTCTCTCTTTCTCTTACAACTATCAGCTGTGGAAATTTTTAAGAGTTAAAGCTCTCAGCCTGACTGGCTACAGGAAGAAACATTCCAAGGCTTTTGTAAGATGTGTAAAAAAAAAACCACCGCCAAAACGCCCTCCCTGCCCAGCTCTTGCCAGCATGCAGCATCGCTCCAGTTCCCAGCCCACAGAGGAGCTATTTTAACTGCTTTTTCTCCCCTGAGGTAGATGGGAGGATAGCATGTCCAAGGCTAGAGTCACCACAGATAACGAAATTACTTTTTTGAATGTTGCAGCCTTGGAAAAGACCTAACAGAGCTTCTGTTTGCTTTCATTAAGGGCAAGATTTTATGAAGGCTCTGACCTAGTAGCAGACTCTGGTGTAACTATAGACACCACGATGCGTGGAGGACGGCTTGGAGTTTTCTGCTTCTCTCAGGAAAACATTATTTGGTCCAACCTGAAATATCGCTGCAATGGTAACGTTGCTCTTACATAATTTTATCTAACAACTAGCAAGTGACCATGAAGAACCGGTAGTGTGGCTGTTGGATTAAGCCATTTTGCATCCTTTCCTTTGCTTTTCATTTACAAGTTATTCACAGCTATGAAACGCCTCCCCTGACACCAGCAGCACACTGCAACCCAGCCAGACGGGAACTAACACCTCACAACTGCTCCTCCCAGAGCAGTCACTCTGCTGCAGAGATTGTGCCAACTAAGTAGTATAGCTGTCATCAGAGAATTAGAAATGTTATTTAAAGCCAACCAACCGTTGAGAGTTGTACACGCACAATATACTGAGGCCATCATGTATGTAGGATGCCTCGAGCTCTGAATACAAGGTGAAATAAATCTGGAGCGCCAGTGGGATTAGTCACCAAGCGTCAGTGTCACTTGTGTACTTGCTGGTTGCTCCTGTGGTCTGTGGGAGGACGGATCATAAGATGCCCTTCTCCCACGGAGTAATCCTTCTCAGACTCTGTGGGAGCGTGCTGGCTCACTCCTCTTGGGATAAGAGCCTCGCAACTTAGCCCTGATCTCCCACTACATGGAATAACTCAAACCTTGGTCACTCACGCAGAAGCTGATCGTGTCAGGGTATTTCTGCCCTGGCAGCTGTTCAGCTAGCTTGAAGTGGGGTTGGAGGGGCTGCCCCCCTCCTCTCAGCATCAACCCCTACCTGATGAAGGCAGCCTTAGGAAGTTAAGTTACCTGCCAAGTTGGAATAGTTTCCTTGTCTGCTTTCTGTGGATCCAAGAAGCCCAGCCCAGGTCTGCAGTGGACACAGCCACTGCGTGGCCAGACCCTGGCTCTGTGGCTTGTCCCGGTGATGGACCCTGGTTCTTAGGCACTCGGTACACCTAGGCTGGCACTTGCAGATCATGGTTAAACAGGGAAACTTCTAGACAGTGGTGCTTACAATTAAAAATTACTTGATAAGAGTCTCAAACAGTATGTGGTTTCCCAGAAAGCATGTTTCAAAGCTGCCGCTGAAGTCGCAGATACTTCCCTGGCAGTGAGCAGGCAGTGGCTTTGCTGCAGGTGCTGCAGTAAGTCAATGAAACCCACTCCAAGAGGTCTCTGGAGTCCCCAGGCATCCCTGCTTTCATTTCAGACAAGTTCCTACGTTTGTAGAAAAAGCTTAAAAGGAATTGTCAAGCCTCAAAAAAGAGAAGTGAATCACAAAAAGCAAAGGACTTTACCCCCTTTTTTTATATATACTGTGTGTATTTATATAGTTACTTCCTTTTTTCAGTTTAGAGTTACCTGTCCATCATCAGGGTGGAAATAATCAGAGTAAAGTTGAGGTGAGGCAGTTGAGCTTCATTGCTGTGGCCCCATCTTTGGCTGCAGCTTTAGCTCCACAGTTACCTCTGTGGCTCTCCAGATAAAATGTTCTGGGATCTGGCAAAGGCAAACAGGAAACTCAAGGCTTCAAACAGAACTGTAGTTACTCTTATGACATTGACCCATCTCCAGCTCACTTCTCCAATTCTGAAGTTTTTCTACCAGTTGCTACTGGTCCTTGGGTTAATGTTTCTGTCCCTTCGTGGCGTGGGAAACCATCACAGGGAAGCTGAATTAGGGTACATGAGAAATAGAGACGCTGACGCTACAAACGTATCTGGGGTACAGAGCAAGACAACCACTTTTTCTGCCTTTCTGGTCAGGGTTTATTAAGAAAAATATAAGAGTGGAAGCCACAAAGTTTTTGGGTGGAAACGTAATTTGAAGATTGATAGTATTCCATTATGGGCTGGCACTGTAGCACTCACTGTCTTGTTAGCCTCTCTGTGCTTTTCAGTGATGTACAGCTAAAACTGAAAACATTCCCTGTTCGTTCTTAATGTGTAAACAAAAGAGAAGGCACATTACCTAAAAAAAAAAGAGGAGGTGGATAAATCATTAATTTAAGTGCTCCTTGATTTTGTCAGAGAAGACTAAACTTTTGCGTATTTTCCTGTTTTCAGACACCATTCCAGACGACTTCCAAGAATTTCAAGCTCAGCAATTTGGCGTTGGTGATATTTAAGAAGGAAAAGCAAACTAACATTGCTATTGCAAACAATAAAACAATATATTTTAAATCCTTATATGATTGTTGTTGTAAGAGTGCACATCGCAGCTTGTTCTCATTGATGTAACTATGTCAGACCTTTTTTTGTATGAAAGTGAAATAAAAAGGAGACAAAATAGACTGGGACTTCACTTGTTTTCACATTTGCCCTAAAATCTAGGGAGCGGCATGTAATGGCAAGACACTTGCTTAAAACATCTCAGAAAAAGTTTGAATATATTGCTGTTTTGGACGCAGTATTAAACAGGCTGGGGAAGAAAGCACAATCTTGTCTGTTTGGAACGTCTCAGAAACAACAGGTTGCAGCCGGGCATGAAGTGGTTGGGAGCTGTCTGGCCAAGCCAAGGGCTTCTTTGTGCCTTTCCAGTTTTGCTAGGGAAAAGTTTTACCTCCGTTAGAGCAGTTTAACTCCTTTGGAGACTTAGTTACCTTTGGCAGACCTCCTCTAAGAACTCTCTTAGACATCCCTGCCCTCCCACTCCCAGAAAACTGTGAGTAATACTATCACATCCTGTAGAAGGAAAAAAGCTGACTGCAGGGCATTGTAGTCACATCTTATGATCTGCATGTGACTAAAACAAAAAAAACCAGATGGGGATAAATGCAGAATTACCTATAAAGAGAAAATAACCCTAACTTTCACATACACAAAGCCAGGCTTTGACCTGCTGTCCCTACTCAGAGCCGAGCTCTCTCAGCAGGTACTGCAATCTTAGGAAAATAAGTCACCAAGTTAAAAACCCAAAACACTGCATTAAGCATTAGTAACCATTAGGAAAGGACTGGAAAACAAAAAGCCCCCAAAATTGTATCACAATGCACTCTGTAATTCAAAGTATAGAAAGTTGTTGGATACTATGTGCATTTCTACTACATTCTTTTTCAAAATGTAGCTAGGAAAGGGAGGACAAGCTCCAAGGACAGCTGAAGAAAAGGGTATTGCAGCCTATAAGATAATTACTTTAAAAAGGACAATGGGAAACTACTTCAGCCTGGGGGGAGGGAGAGGGAGGAAATACACAAAGTGGGAATACAGTGAGGGTTTTAAAAATCAGAAGTAGCCCTAAGAAAATGAACAGCGGTGGCTCTTTCTCAGCACAAGAATACAGGGGAAATGCTGAGTTAAATTATCAGGTGAGAGTATCAAAGCAAAAGAAGTTTCCTGTTCTCAGTACAGTAAAAATACCCTTACAGTTTATGGTGCTATCAAAAGCTTGGGCTATGGGAAGAGTTTTCATCGTGGGCTTGTCCACCATTGCCACGGCTTCTGTGAGCGGTGCGGCCCTGGGACCTGTCCCACCAGGGATCCCAGAGTCCCACAGCAAAGAGCACGCTGCAGGAGCGTCGTTGCCCTGGCACGGCGCTTCGTCATGAAAGGTCCTTCAGCTTCAGTCCTCCTTTCCCCTTGGCTCACCAAACCCAACTTCACTCACCAGTTTTTCCTCAGAGGATTGAAAGGCTAGTTACTTTGGAGCAACACAGAGGGTATTGTCAAATTGTGCTTAAAAAATGAGAAAAACCATCTTTTTCTAGCTGAACAAAGGCTGTAACTGCAGTTATCGTTCATTTATGAACGAGAACACAAAAGATAAAGCAAATTTACATCTTCCTTATAATGAATTTGTGTTTCACTGGATAAGCCCCTTCTCCAGGCAGAAGTCCTCTCTGAATGGTTTGGGCGCAATCTGGGCAGAAGGCAGTTGCTCATACTGCACACGCACGCACCATAGGAGCCCCACAGCCGAGGCCTGCAGTGCATACATTTTACATACAAGTGGTCTTCTCACAGTGGATGCAACAGGCCTGGCCCACCCTGACCTGCCTGCAGCATGTGCTGGTCAGAGCACAACAGCACACATCAGCTCCATCACAAAACGTGACCGCAGCCAGCCTCTGAACCTCTGCCAGCCTCCGAACCTCCGCCCAGCTCTCCCATCTGCAGCCAGAGGCTCTCCTCCTGCTACAGTGGCTGGGAGTGAGCACCCTGGCCATTTGCCACACAGTTTGCCACCTTCAGGCTTGCCCATTTCCAGGCTCTCTTCCAGTCTATGCCACGGCTGTTGGCCACTGGAGGCTGGAAGATGAGATCGGGGCTCTGGCTCTCGTGCTGTCAAAGGTAATAGCATAAAGCTGTGAGCTTCTAACCTGCCCCGACAGAAAACACATACTGGTTTGCTCACCTGTTAGCCACAGAAACCAGTCACAGCTCAGACAGCCAGAACTTTTCTTTGTTTCAGAAAGTGCTGTTGGGGTGCCAGAGCTCCCTATGTCTGTTGTGTTGACACTCCAACCGCTGGGTAGCCTGCAAGTTCAGGAACAGCAAAGTCCAGCTGTTGCAGACAAAGATTGGCCCCAAGATGATAGTCTGGGCTTGGGAAACCTCCCGCCTCTCACATTCCCATCAGAGACTTTGCAGTCCCTGTGTATGAGCATTTAAACAAGCTCCTCTTGCACCGCCACCTCTTTCTGGACTGTTGTGCAACGCAGACATAGCTCCTTGTGTGGCCTCTGGCAAGTAAAGACGCTGCAATCCCACATCTTTAAAACCGAATGTGTAGTTCTCTCTTGCCCCCACAGCTTGCGCAGCCAGGCTGCACTCAGGTGGAGCAGCAGCTGCAACTACTTTGGAGTTCAGAGTCCTGGGGCTCCTGCACCAGCGTCTAACTTCTCACCAAAGGTTAACTCTTTCCTGTGTGCTACAAACACCACTTCAAACAAACGACAAACACACTTCAAATGCTTCTGTTCCCTAAAGACCATCTCCTGATTTGAAACAACAGAAGAGAACATCCTGCCAGGATGCTGCAGGGTGGGATGAAGGCAGGGGTGGGCAGACGGGTGGGAGGCAGCTGAGCAACAGCGGCCGGCTCTCGCAGACCCTCGGCACCACTCGGGAACCACTCTCTGCTTTGCACCTCAGTCAAAATGCATAGCCTCCCAGCTATGTGCACCAGAGCTGCAGAGAGAACAGCAGCCGCTCTTCGACCCTTCGAAATTTGGTCAGCAGTTTCTCATAACCACAAGGAACCCATGTCCTGGTGTGGGTCTGGTCAGCTCTAGGGCACGGGTGCAACCAGTACCAGCAGGCAGGCTGCACCAGGCACATGCTGAAACAGGACTCCACAACAGTCCGAACATGGATGGTGACAAGCAAGGGACCAGGACTCATGGAGAGGCAGCACTTTCCCTGGTGCGGATCTAGGTGTCAAATTCAGCAGCTGCCCACCCCACCATCTGGGCAAATGAGAAAAAAAAATCAGAGATCTTTGTTTCAAACAACTGCACGGGCTTCAGTGCTATACTTGGCCTGGAAAATATTTTGTTTGCACTGTCAGGTATCTGACACATCTCAGAGAGCTGGGTTGTACAGAGCAGATGCCACGGACAAATCTGTGCAAACTGCCATCTTCCAAGATCATGCTCTGGAGGAGTACAAAAATAACGTGGACAGCGAAGACATCTAATATTCCGTAGGCCAACATTTTTTTTATTAAAAAACATCCAAATGTAGTGAACAAAAAAGATCGATCAATTTACTTTTACTGACGCAGTAACTGCTTAGCTCATATATTTATATATTTTTAAAGTTTCTCCTAGAATGAGTTGACTTTTCAACTTTAATATATCACAACAATTCATTTCAAATGTAAGAAAAACTTTATTGGTCCATTAAACATTAAATCTATAATAATACATTCACTCAGTATACAAAAGGAAGCGTCCATAAAAACCATTAACATGCTTTAAAAAGGCAAAGCTGTTGACTATTTTACAATTAAGATCTTACAATCCTTAAAAGTCAAAGTGTTACACTTATTACAGATCACAACACTCGCAAAAAATGTTAAATAAACTAGCAAACCTTCACTTCACTGGGCTACAGCTTAATAAAATAAAACCACACATACATACCAAAAAGATCCCTTGAGATATTAAGAACCTTGAAAAAGACTAATTAAAAACCCCTCACCATTAAGTGTTTACATTTTGACTACTTTGCATCCAGTTTTCGAACTGAACACCACCCATTGGTGGTAAACAAAAAGCAGACAGTGAACCCATATGTTCCTAGGAAATATTTTCTCAGCTTCTATATGACAAGTTGAACAATTTTTTCTGAAAGTTAATTCTCCTCACTCTAAGTTTGCATGGATGTCCAATGACACCTAAGAGGAAAAATAAAGCTATGGTATGAGTAATGAGACATTATTTCCCCACAGCTTTCCAAAATTCTTCTTGGCATCGCGCTGAGGCTTCTTTGGCAAAGCGCGGCTGCAGTGCTGCACCCCACAGCTCTGGTGAGCAAAAGCCCTGGAAGCTTTAAGCTGCTGGAGTGGTCTCAAAGCTGATGACTGTGGCTCTGAAGAAGTTTGTGCAAGCGGCTGTACGCTACAGCACTGGGAGCTATTGGAGACTGGCAAACGGCTGGAAGCCAATGTGGCTTACATCTGAAATAAATTCCAACTTTTTAAAAATAAAGTTATTGAACAGGTGTGGAATGAGTCAAAACCATTTTTGAGAAAAAAAACAAAAACAAAACTGGATTTAAGGGCTACTTGAAACCTACAGAATTTCTTCAGGCATTAGAAAGCAGCCAGTCATGCCAGTCTCCCAAAGTTTCTACTTCAAACCCTGTGCAATGGGTCTGCATCCCCATCCTGGGGTACTCGGGCATTCTGCCATCAGGATGTTGAAAATGCAGAGACATACCAGTTCCCAAGCTACGTATCCTGTTACAAGTACAAAAAGCCAAAGCTTTCTAAGCACTTGACCCCTGGCATTCTCTTGTACAGTCCTGTCAAACTACTGTTTACAAAACTGAAAACACAAAGTAAGATGTCATGGCGCTGATTATGTGTTTTCTTCCCACAAGAACTTGTAGGCCACTTCAGAAAACAAAGAAGCAATTTTCACAGAGGAAAACTGATCCATATAAAAAACTATGATCCTTGACTTTGCTTCAACACTGCAGGTTGTCCTGCTATAAAAAGGAAAGGATCAGCAAGACCTGGCAAAGAAGTCTTTGCTAATTTCTAGCACCAAAGGCATCCCACTTGACAGGAAGCAGAATGGGAGTGAAGCAGGTTTACAATGCCTTTAAAAAACAAATCCAAGC